GAGTTCTGGCCATTAGATGTAGCTTGTCTGTGTTGGGACATTCTTTTGAACAGTGGTTGCTTTGTTTCCCCGATGGTAAATGGACTGAACTTATAGAGCGCTTTTCAAGTCCCTCCGGACCCCCACAGCTGCCCTGGGGCGCACTGACAAAGGTGGGGCTGCCATGCATTGGCGCCACCGGACCCTCTGACCACCATCAGTAGGCAAGGTGGGTGAAGTGTCTTGCCCAAGGACACAACGACTGAGACGGCTGGACGGGGGATCGAACCAGTGACCTTCTGGTTCCAGGACGACTCCCCTAACCACTCCGCCACAGCCGCCCCATTTAATGTATTATAACCTTTCCCTCACAAATTATATTGTATATATCTTTTTAAAGGAGAATCTAGTTTAAGACTTGGATTAGACTGCATGCAACCAGAAACTCTTAATCAAATAAACATTTATTGAAAAAAATCAAATAGCAAATTCCAGTTGTGTCTGTTTGAGGCAGATTAATCTGACTCAACTTTAATTGATAAAACATGATTTGGATAATGTGTCCAAACTTACCTGCAGTGGTTGCCACACTCCCGATTGCAGTATTCACCGTCCCACTCATGGGTCTGAGCCACTCCAGCACCTGGACCTGGGCCAGGGGCTCCTGGAGACTGGGATCCTCCAATGCTCTTCTGGTAATCTGACTGAAGGTGGGAAAACCCCTAAAAGTAATAAAAGTACCCATGAGAGTTAAACCATCTGTAAGTATCAACATTTAAAGCCACGTGCCTTGAGATTGTTGCTGTACCTGCTGCCCCGGAGGTGGGGACTGAAGAGAGGCCTGAAGCCCCATCTGGTGGGAGATGATTGGCTGGGACTGGACCTGCTGCATGCGGATAGGCTGGTTGAGGAGCGAGCTCTGGTGCAGGGAGAGCTGCTGGTGGGGGTGCAGTGGTGGGCTGATCTGAAAGGAGGAAGGTGGAGAGGCACTAATGCTGGGCAGCATCGGCGATTGGCTGAGCGTCTGCGACAGGGCGTGGCGAGGGGCGTGTCCTGCGTAACTCTGCAGGTCAGTGAGAGGGAAGGGCCCGGGGCCCAGGTATGGTGACGACGGCTGGGGGGGAGGTGGCACACTGTACAGGGGCGTGTTGGCTGTCATCATATGTGGAGAAGCCTGACTTGTTTGGGCTGTTTTTGTCTCCACTGGGTCATTATATGTCTGGAAGAGTGACAAAAACCATCAGAAATAGTCACACTAACCATGAAAGATCTGAAAATGTCAATGAAAATGTCAGTAACGCTAAACATTTAGTAGATATTTTGTTTTGTCTGCAACCAAACTTGTGGTCCTTCCATTGCAGCTGCTTTTAGCTCCAGGAATTAGCCAGTGACAGGTGGTTTTAGTCAGCTGCCGGGATTTTAGACTGAGAGTGCTCCTATTAGCTGCAACTATATGTGCACTTTTTTTCTTTAGATGGTGGACAGCCTTAATTAATAGCATCAAAACAATCTAGAAGTTGCTATTAAGGCTTTGTCAACAAGACTGCAAAATAACAGCTCCAAAAGAAACATGAGCCTATTAGAATGGCTTTTGTTGAGCTGCTTGTCATTTCAGGATTCTGTTGTAATTATTTGGTCGATCTTTTCAACAATTAAAAGAAATAGAGTTTATTGCAGGCAAAAAGAAAAAAAATAGTTGATGTTTTTCTACAGTTACATATATTATGGTAAATGAACATGACATAATAATCCCTTTGAGAACATTTAATTGATGTGAAAAAATGGTGTTTGTGAAATTCTACACTGTTAATTAATTCTATGCAATTCTACTAAAAATCTTAAAGTGTCTGCGATATCAGTTTTTTTTGTAATAACATGAATGCATTTTTTGAAATTAACATTAATAACTGAAATTAACAGTTGAGATATTTGCATGTGAAGTAACAGGTAGTGAAGACAAGGTGGGATATCTAAATGGGAAAATCTGATTTTACTTTTGAATGTCCAGATGCATCTCAGTAATCCAGGTAGAAAAAATCAAATAGAAAAAAATAAATAGGTCCTCTGGATGGGTTCTTCTTCAGTGAAACGTTGCGTCTCTCCTCCAAGAGACTACTTCAAACTCATCTGGCTGAAGAAGTCTCTTGGAGGAGAGACGAAACGTTTCACTAAAGAAGAACCCATCCAGAGGACCTACTTATTTTTTTCTTTTTGGTTACTTTTGAATATTTTATCAGATAGAGATGAAGTCAGAGTTCAAATAATGATTCAATAAAGAAAAAAATGTTCTGCTCCTTTAACGTCACTTCCTGTTTCTCTTTTCCCGAGCCAAGTTCAAAAGAAAATATATGTGACAAAATGGGTAAAATCCTCTGTATTAAACCAAGTTTCTTAGATATAAAGACATTTTCTTTGAGTTTTTGTTTTTGAAGAATATGCATGATAGATATTTTTAAACTTTATCATTTTTTATATTTGATCCAATTGCATTAATCAGTTGTATTAAATTTGTCTTTCTTGCTGCCATAATTTTCATCTCTGCAGCTTTGAGCTGCACTAACTGATAAGAAGTAACCCTGTGATTGGTCAAGATGTTTTTCTCTGTGCTCTGTTTGTAATAAACTGTTCAGCTTTCCCCGGCCAAGGTCAGAACTTTCTGCTGAGACCTGTCTTAAGCGTCCTCAGAAACTTCTCACTCTTTGCAAAGAGAAAACTGTTTTAAACTGAATGCTTCTGTCTGTGTGTGGTTCATTTCTTTTTAAGGGGTAATTTAATGTCCAATCTGACAATGCATGTCAAGGGCACTTTAAAATATATCATGCATTGCAGCTTAGTGACTGGTTTTGTGCCTCCTCTCATTATTTATTTAACTTTAATTATTAATTAACCCCGCCCGTCCACCTCAGTGCTCTTACGCACACATCCATCCTCCAAGTTTTCCTGTTTCGCCTTCTTTCAAAGGTGTAAGTATGAAATATATCCAGTGTTTCTCATTATGTGTCAGACTGGCTGAGGTGATGTGTGGGGGCCTGCTATTTAGTAATGGCTCACATCCATCCAACTGAATCGCTGAAATAATCAATGGGACAGGATGAGGGAATGGATAAGGCAGAGGGACAGGCCCATTTGCAGGGTCAAGTGGAAAATGAAATACAGAAGAAATGAGGTGAATGGAGAAGGGGAGAGTGAGACGATAGGTTTGATATGTTGAGGCTTATTTTTAAGTGGATATTCAACAGTGGTGTGGAAGCATTTCTCATCGTCATCTGTTTAAGAAGATTAGAATAAAAAAATCAGATTTGTAAAATGGTCTGAGTTTCTCTTTAAACTTATGGAGTTTGGATCCAAATGAACACAGGAGAAGGGCTAATGGCATATAGGAGATTGCAATCAAGCTTTTTTCTTTTTTACTTTTTTCTTTCCCTCTCTAACAAACAAACAAGTGTTACAAAACAAAAGGGCAACAGGTGCACACTGAGGATGTAAATCCTTCAAATGATCCTCCAATTACCTCCAATTCCACCCACTCCAATTCCCTCTAAAAAGACTCCTTCATTTGTGATTTAAAGAAAAAAAATGGAGAAAGTCATTTTGAAGGATGAGGTTCAGTTCTGCTGCTGAATGTGAGTGAAAGACGGTTTGCAGGGTTATTTTTGTCAGTCAGATTTTTGACTACCAGCACATGGCATCAATCAAGCCTCGGCATAGAACGCCCTGAATGTCTAATCGAAGCGGAGACAAGAGATGAGAATAGTCTTTTGAGTTGAACGTGCGTCGCAGTGAAGAGGCTGATCAATTATCCTTTCATGCCTTAATCAAGGTGCTTGTTTTCTACCCGTGAGCACGAGAGGAAGCGTGGCGTCGCGTTCGGCGGGGAGGAGGAGGGATGGAGGGTGAGGGGGCGGAGCTTGGTATATGCTAATGCAATTTAGAGTTGAATGCGACGAACAATGCGGAGAGACCGAAATGAAACGCTGCGCACCCGCCGACTGAAGCAGCTCTGTTGCAGCTATTGTCAAAACCTCGCAGATATGAACCACTTGCAAGGTGCTTTGCCTAGTTTCTCTCTTTTATTTATTTATTTTATTTTTTTAAAACAAACATTGCTAAATGAATGCTAATACTCTGGGCATCAAAGAGAGAGCAGTGAATGCGAGCAAACCTCGGCCAACACATTAGTGGCCCACCAGGGAAGAACGAAGCACCAGGAGGACAGCAAATGACAGGTAATGTCCACTCCTGCTTTTATTTGTGCACACAGATAAGCTCACACACACAGATGTGCACTATTACTTTTCATTTGTCCCCAGGAAACAAATTGGGTGTGTTTGAGGCCTAATTTACTTTGTTCTCTTTAGAGCACATACACATTGCCTCTCATTCACAAATATTACCTGGTAAATATGTATGTATACATAAAAATATACATTCAGTATGCATGCACGCTAAAGCCCTTTGTGCAGTTTGCAGATTTTTTCCCTTGAAATAAAAGCAAGAGGAATTCTGTCTAATTTATTACCCCATATATTGCTGCTGACCCATGTATATCAAAGATGTGACCCCTGCTGTTACCTTGGAAACCAGACTGGCTCTGTAGGCGGCCAAGGCTTTCAGGTACTCCTTCTTAGCAGCCTCTGTTTTCCTCTTGTAGCTCTGCAGGAGCAAACACAACAACAACAACAACGTTTGATTACAAGCTGATGCCAAAGGCTAGAATGAGACAGTCTTTCCACGCTGACTGATGCGGAGGAAATTTCGGGAGTCACTGTGGCGATGAAAAACATTTCACGTACGTTCACTGCACAATTTTCAGGTCAAGGAGAACCGTACATTTGTGTGATGTTGATGCATTTGAGTCATTTGCTTTTTTGGGAAAGTCTAATTCAAACCAAAATTAAATGTCAAGAAACATCGCACACGGGACGTTGAAAGCATTTGACACAATTGAACACGCAATTCTCTTCGAAAAGCTGAATAAATATGGGATTCGAAGACCAGCACTACAGTGTCTCTCTAGTTCTCTGACAAACAGGAAACAGTTTGTACAAATAAATGATGTAAAATCTGAACTCTGTGATATTACATGTGGTGTGCCTCAGGGTTCCGTGCTTGGCCCAAAATTATTTATTTTATATATAAATGATTTGGTAAATGTATCAGGGTTTTTCAAGTGTGTTTTGTTTGCAGATGAT